TCCCCGCGTCGCCCTGCAGCGCGGCCAGCAGCTTCAGGCTGCGCTCGTACTCCAGCAGCTGGCCCAGGAAGTTGAAGTTGGGCGAGATGGACGGGCGCCGGTCCTTCACGAACCTGCGGTGAGAGGAGCCTCGGTGCAGGCAGGCACTTCCCGCCAGGCCGCGCTGCCCGCCTGACTGCCCTGCACCTGCGGCGCGTCCTTGGGCTCGCACCCTGGTGGGTGATGGGGCGGGCTCCGGCCTCCCCCTACCCAGCCAGGGCAGGGCAGCCGAGGGGCCCTGAGGGGCAGTCTTGGTGCACGGGGTGGGAGGGGAGGGATGGGGGGGCGGGTGAGTGGCCGTAGGCTGTTGAGTTCCAGGTGCCCAGCCAGCAGGGAAGCAGGGGTACCTGTAGGCGTCGTCCGAGGACATGCCCATGGTCTTCATGATGTAGGCAATGGCAATGGTGGCAGAGCGGGAGATGCCGGCCAGACAGTGGACAATGACTTGGCAGCTGGACAGTTTGGCTTTATCTGGGGGCAGGTGGGCCGTGGGGACCAGGTGAGGGCTGAGACTGCACAGCCCTTCCCTACCCCAGGTAGGGGCTCCACCCTTCCTACTGCCAACAGCCCAAGCTACTTCTCAGGGACCCCCCCATTGCTGAGGGGGCCTCCCCTCCTGGCCAGGTCGGGCTTCCTCTGGCAGGCCCCGCCCTAGCCTCACCGATGAACTCGATGGACTTGTCCAGCCAGGGCAGCAGCTTTTCACAGTAGTTGTCATTGATGGGGATGCGCATGAAGCGGCTCTCGCAGATGAAGTCCGGCTTGGGGCAGGAGCTGCTGGCATTGAGCACGTAGCTTATTCCATTTTGGGTCATCAGATCCTGGAGGGATGGGAGGGCAGGCTGGAAGGCAGTGGCGGAGAAAAGAGCAGCCCCCTGGGGCAGGGGAAAGGGGGCTTCCTCCCTGCAGCCTGGAGGCCTAGCTCCTGGAACCTCAGAATTTGTCCTGGATCCCAAGGTGCCTGAGGGGCTGGGCCCACTGGGTCCTCCTTCCATCTCCACCGTGGAGCCCAAAGGCCCTGTGCTGGGGGTTGGGGGACGGCTGGCCTCCTCTGCAAGCCCCGCCCACAGCCTGCGGTGGGCCCCAGGAGTTTTACAATTGCCTAGGCAGTGGCTTTTACCCTTTTCCCTGGTCACCATTTTTAAAACACAGGATTCTTTCAGAGCTGGCTAGGGGCCCAGTGACATCACCAGTTTGGCATGCTGGCTCCGCCGTGGGAGGGGCAGGGAGCCTGCTTCCCCACCCAGCCCCACCGGGCCCCTCCCCCAATCCCTGTTCTGTCCTGCAGGGGTGGGGGCCTTGGGTCTTCCCATGCCCCCAACCCATGCTTATCCCACCCCTGGCCCATCCATCGCCCTCTCCCATCAGCCTCAGCTCCTACCCCCTCACCCCCCACCCATGTGGGAGCTGCTCATTGAGCTCCCACCTCTTTCCCTCATCAGCCAAAGCCCCCGGACATGCACACACCTTGTTCAGGACATCCTTCTGAGAGCCCAGGTAGAGATGAGGCAGGATGCGGGTCAGGCCCACACTGGGAACAGGCAGGCAGGGCTGGGACAGGCTCATGGGCAGCAGGGCCACGGGCTTGCCCTCACAGAGGCCAGGGAAGCAGGAGGAGAAGGTGGCGAAGCCCCCTGCAGGAGGAGGCACATCAGGCGGGCCGGCCAGCTGGGGCAGGGGAGGATGCCAGGGCACCCCATCTACCATCGCGCTCAACCACACCCAGCCCACACTCGAGCAAGGCGGCCAGCGAGCCTGTGGCCTGAGCACCTGGCCCTGAGCTGGAGGGCCGCTCTCACCACGCTGGGCTCGTACTGCTGGGCATCTACAGCCTGTGGCTACGCCCACATTCCTCCTCATGCTAATTAGGGGCTGGCCCCACTGAGGAAGCGCTGTGATGCCAATAAATGTGGGGTGGAGGTGGCCAGCCAGCACAGCACTTGGAGGGCCCAGGTGGGGCTGGCTCAGAGGCCATAGGGGTTGGGGGGTCACCTGTTGGGGGTGTGGATCACACAACCTGGGGAGGAGAGGCCCTGATCAGCCCTTCCATACTAGTGGCTTGGGGCCAGGCTGGGCCCCTCCTGCCTCCCCCCTGCGCTGATGCAATCCCTCCCTGCCTCCACTTGGCTGGGAGCCCCAGGCCCAGGCTCGGGTGCCAGGACTGGGAGGCAAGGGCTTCCAAGGGGGCCCTCCCCCTCCCCTGGGCATGACATCACCCACTGGAATTGGCACGGTCCACAGGGGCATTTGTGGTCTGGCTACAGCTCCACTCCACCCAGCAGGAGAGGACAGAAGAGCAGAGGATCCCTGGGCACTGGGAGCATGCAGGACAGCAGCACACGTGGTTGCCGCGTGCCCTGCCACCCTCCACACACATCCTAGTCCTGGCCACAGGTTAGTGGAAGGGGCCCTCCACCAGCTGGAGAGACCTGAGTGCAAGACCCTGGAATGTGTGACTCAGGGCCATGGGCAGAACACATCACGCCCCTGGCCTCAGTGTCCTCATCCTGCCTGCCACACAGCATTGTTTTGAGGCTCAGAGGAGACAATGACCCTGAAGACACACAGAGAGAATGGGCCTGGCCACCCCTGACCTGGCTGGGGAGACCACTGACTTGGCCACTAGCTCTGGGTAGGACGCGAGGTGAGAACTACTTGGCAGCACCTGGGGCTGACCACACTTCTGGGGACGCAAGTCCCCAAGGCATGTGGGCGCATTTCTGGCTTTAGTTGACCCATCCAGCACAGGAGACGTCTAGGCTAAGACCTACCCTATCCCACCAGGGCAAGCAGGGAAGTGAAGGTGGAGTCTCAGGCCCTGGGACCCCCAGTGCTCTCTCCTGCCCTGGTCTGCAGAGGAGGCTGGTGCCAGGGATCTGGATGATTCCCAAAGACAGAGAA